ACGGTACTCTCATTTAAAAAACAAAGTCAACGGTTCCCTAATGCGCACCAGTTTGTCTGAAATTCTTTCGAACCTAGTAAGACGATAAGTGAAGTTTAGGATTTCCGGAAAAGAGGAAAGAAACAGAGAGAGAGACGAAGACAATGTCGGAGTATCTAGTAACTATGGCGGATCAGTCCCAGGTAACAGCTGATATACAAGCCATGTTAGAGGCTGAAGTTCATGTTGGTACCAAAAACTGTAATCTTTAGATGGAGCGTTATGTCTTGAATAGACGCAAAGACGGTAACTCTTCATCTTAATCCCAACGGATTGTATATTGATCTGGTGGCTTTTATGAAGTTGTATCTTTCTCTTGGTCGAAGTACTTGCGTTATCAACATAGTAAAGACATGGGAAAGGCTTCAGATGGCTGTTAGGATGATTGCAACAATCGACCCACAATATGTTATTGTTCAATCATCAAGCCCTTATGGTCAGAGACGGGTATCCATGTTTGCTCATTTTACCGGAGGTGTTAAGGCAATTGCTGGAGGACACATTCCCGGTACCTTCAGTGACAAACTGCGGCCTTGTTTGTTGATTGTCACCGACCCAATAACCGAACATCAATCAATTAAGGAACCTGCTTCGAGAGACATTCCAATTCTAATTATTGCTTTCTGTGACTCGGATTCTTCAACCGTATCGGTTGACATTCGTATTCCTACTAATAACAAGGGAAGACACAGCATTGCTTGCTTTTATTGGCTTTTGGCTAGTATGGTTCTCATAAGATCATAAATGGGATGTCAAGGTGGATATGTTTCTCAGCAAGGAACCCAAAGAACCAAAGCTAGAAGAGGACAAAGAAGCTGCTTCGAGTTTGTTTTCAAGGGCAACTTTCAAACTGAGCAAACAACTTAAGAATGCGAGACTTCTGTTGGAAAAAATGAAAAACAAAGTCAATTTTATTTGTAGAGTTCAAAATGGAGATTTTGAAGTATTCCCTACGAGTAGTGATATTGTTTAAAAGTTGAAGGGGAGAGGGTTTCAACTATTCCCCAACAAGGCCAAGAAGCATGCAACTGATGAAGAATCGGCTAGAGAAAGCTCCTATGACTACCTATGGGAGGAAATTACTTTAGATATGGTAAGCTTCCCTTGTAAACTTGAGGAGGTTCGCTTCGATATAGATGTATTGAAATCCTTAGTTTCTCTTATTGAGGATAAAGAGTCATTTGGCCAACTCATTT